AACGATTCAGATTCGGATTCTTCGGGCTACTCGTTATCTGCACTGCCGTCAGTTTGTGTTGCCTACTCTACAGAGTGGATATTGGATTCGGGTGCTACATACCACATTTGCCCTAGGAGGGATTGGTTCTCCAGCTTTCAGGAGTTGGAAAGAGGGGATTTCGTGCTCATGGGGAATGATCACAAATGCTCTATTGGTGGTATTGGTACTGTTCGGATCAGGATGAGTGACGGGGTGATTCGGGAGTTGGTTGGAGTGAGGTTCGTTCCTCAGTTGAAGAAGAACATCATTTCACTTGGAGCTTTGGAGGCAGCTGGCTATAGGGTGACCTTGGCGGATGCACGCTTGAAGGTTACATTTGGGTCCATGATTGTGATGAAGGGCGTCAGAAGAAGAAATTTGTATTATTTGCACGGAAGCACGGTGATTGATAGGGAAATGACGACTTCATCAGATTCGGCTAGACTGTGGCATTGTTTGGTGCTGGGGTATATGATTGGTAATACCGTGCATTGGTTGTTGAGGAGTGCTATGACCTGCAGATTGAAGTCCTGTGAGCACATTAGGATGAGCGAGACCGTGGTGGAGTTTGGCACTTCTATCCATCGAGCGAGGGGTCTTTTTGGAGGTGTTCAGTCAGGCATTTGGGGGCCTTCCAAGGAGGCATCATTGGGAGGTAATCGTATCTTGGTTTCCACAGTTGGTGATTGTTCTAGGCATTATTGGGTCGCGACCAGTTCCCGTTGGTGTAAAGTCCTAGAAGTCAACAACAATTGGAAGAAGTGTATTGGCAGAAAGGTAACTCATTGTTTCAGCTTTGGTAGGGGTCCTTTCTTGCGTTGGTGCCGAGCTCACGGCAATAGGAGACACTTCATTGGTGTGGAGACTTTGGGGCGACGAGATGAGATGACAGTTTCGATGGGTCGTTCCTTTCTGGAGGAGGATCGGCGTTTGATGTCGAGCATTGGCATTGGTGTGCGGGCTTCGACATATTTGGGTCATCTTATGCATAGGTCGCCGACTGCTGCTTTAGGAGTTATTAGATCTGGTGGAGCTGCTTCAGATTTTGGGTCGCGTCGGATATTTGGATACCCAGCATTTGGTCACATCGTGGATGTGAGATTGGATCCGATTGCGCGTTTGGGGTTCGGAGGCTCAGTTGATTATCGTTTGGGAGCTTCTGATTTTGTTCTGAGCAGGTATGTCACTTTTGACTCTCGGCAGGTGGAGAGTGTTGATCAGGTCATTTGGATATCGCAGCAGGTGGAGAGTGATGCTACTCCACGTTGGGTGGAGATTACTCCACATACTCCAGATCATACTGCGTCATTTGGGATTCCAGCTAAGGTGACACAGGTTGGAGATCATTTGGTTTTGGATGCAGATGATGGATTGGTTTTGGATTCAGTTGCAGCTGGTAGATATAGTTTGGATATGGCCATTGGTTTACCTCAGGTGGAGGTGTTTGATTTGTCTCAATTTGGGGTCATTGGGAATACTATCAGTTGCAGATCGTTTGGTGATATTGGAGAAGAGTTGCAGACTTTTCTATTTGATTGAGGGCCTTTGGAGGCCGTTTGGGTGAACTACGTGAAGGCTTGATTCCTTGGGCAAAGGATACGTAGGCAGTCATTTTGATGCAGCCGATTTGGTGAGCGACATCGACATTTGGGGTGAGTGTTCACACTCTCATTTGGGTCTCAGCATGTGAGGCATTTGTTTGGTTGGTGTCGGCTCAGTTTTGGGAAAACTTCGCCGAGGTGGAGAATTGTGGAGAAGAATTGGAAAAAGCAGATTTTTGGTCATAAGTCGACTCATGCACAGGCATAAGTCGACTTATGGTAAGTCGACTTATGTTGGTGCATGAGTCGACTTACGTTCTGCTCTGGATTGTTGGTTTTTTGCTCTGCCAAGTCGACTTATCAGGTCTGATAAGTCGACTTATGATCTCTTCTCCAGTTGCTGTTTTTCGCTCTGCCAAGTCGACTTATGCAGACTGATAAGTCGACTTATGACGGGTTTTTTGGAAAGTTCAAGTTCCTATTTGCAGTCTGTTTGGGTTTCTGTTTTGGTATAAATACCAATACGATTTGAGGGTTTTGTGGGGAGAATTTTGGGGTTTTGGAGCACAGAAAAAGAGAGATCTTTCTGAGCTATTTGTTAGGGTTATTGGTTGAGAGATTGAGAGATTTGTTGGTGAGATTAGTTGGTTCGTTTGAGCGATTTGTAATCTCAATTTGTACTCTCCTTCTCTATCAGTGAAAACCCACCCCCTTCTTGCCCCGTGGACGTAGGCAATTTGCCGAACCACGTAAAACCTTGGTGTTTGTGTTTTGTTTGGTCTTTCTCTCGGCGTTCGTTGGTTTGGTTTCTCAAAGCATCAGTCACAACATATACACACGCTCATTACACAAGTACGAATATCACACAGAAAAACAATATTGCAAACACAAAAATATATGTAGTTTGGACTTCGAAGGAAGACTTACATCTACAAGAAGTTATTAACTTTTATTTATATTTTTTTTAAAAACTAAATACTAAACACTAATAATTAAAATTCTAGAACTGGTCGGGCTAGGCCGGGCCGGGTCAAGGTGGGCCGGAGCGATTACTCTTGTCTTGGGTCTGGAGTTAGACTCAGTCAGGCCCGTGACCCGCATGTATAATAGGCCAGGTTAGGTCAGGCCCACTACGAGCCAAGCCCAGTCGTGACGCATGTCAGGCTGGGTCGGGTTAGCCCGTGGGTCGACCCGGCTCGGGCCCAACCCTACTTATGGAGTTGAGAATGAGGAGGTCAATAGAAGAAGAAGAACATGTGGTCTATCCATTATTTGGCTTATAGTACGGGGTTTCTATCAGCAATTAACCCTATTTATTACTTTTTTTTCATCGCAACCCTATTTATTACATTATTCTACTTTTAATTATTTTAGTTATTTGGTAAAATAAAAAGGAATAAAGTGAAAATGAGATTGAGGCAATTACTCGTTCATCACTCCTACTCTGACTACTTGGACTTACCTAATTAGGAAAAAAATTTCTATATTTGATATTTTTACCATCTAATTTTCATAATAATTTGTATAAATTAAATATTTATATAACTTTTGTTGGGGGTAAAACCAGGCTCAATCTAGAGCCCATGGGTCTTAAACAGAAATTAGGAATCAATTTTAACCCAAAAGCTATAACTATTAGATATTGACTCAAACTCCTATTTAAACTCGTCACACTTTCTTATCTTATCCGATATGGGACTATACTCACATATTAATCAGCTCAACAACTCTCCCTTAATTTGTGAGTATAGTTCAATTCAACGATATTTCAATCTTCCACGGAATTCACTAAGTTTTGCACGACTTCACTCGTGGGCTAACCAGACTATGCATTCAACACATAGCTATCAAACCAGGCTCATTTTAGAGTCCATGGGCCTTAAAGTAAGGATTTAGGAATCAATTTTAAACCAAAAACTATAGCTATCACATATTGATCCAAACTCTTATTTAAACTCATTACTCTTTCTTATATTATCCGATGTGGAACTGTACTCACATATTAATCACCTCAACAACTTTTATTATATACTAGGTTTTATGCACGTGCAATTCACGTGATTAAATACTATGATTAAGTATTTTTTATTTATTTTCTTACTAAAATTTGTTTCTCGGTTCCACTTTGATTGTTTTTGCTTACTTATGTCTTTAAACTTTAGTATTGTGGTTATTTATTTTATTTAATGTTTGTTTGAATATGCTACACCAAATTTAAAATTTTCACGTTAATAATTGAATTGACAAGAAATAAATGTAATCTAAAGCTAATTTGAATTTGCACGTTATTTGAATCGACGTGAAACCAAGCTTGAAAGAAATAAATGTAATCTAAAGCTAATTTGAATTTGCACGTTATTTGAATCGACGTGAAACCAAGCTTGACTTGAGAAAGTATAATGTTGTAAAAGTGTGAATTTGCACGTTATTTGAATCGACGTGAAACCAAGCTTGACTTGAGAAAGTATAATGTTGTAAAAGTGAAAAACTCTTAAAGAAATAGCGCTATAAAAGAAGGATGAATAATTAAAGCCAATAAACCAATATGATTAATTAAAAGTGGGCTAGAATGAAACTAAAAAAATGTAATTTTGTTGCTAATCATTGATAAACTTCAGAAAAAACCATAAAATAAAGATTAATACTAACTCTAGTACACTTTTATATGATAAAAGCATCCACATAACCATATAACATATTAAAATAGTTCATGAAAATCCCTTCTAAATATTCCCGATTTTCCTCAAAAAATTAAGTTATTCTATAAAATATTCAATAACTTAAATTTGTGTTGTATTTATAAAGAGCATTGATGGAGATGTTTTTGTTTTAGCAACTTGTTCTGAATGAACCCTGCATATTAGCTTTAAAGTGTAATTTTTTTATCGTGTTATATGGATGTTTGCTTGGTTTACTTATCATTCTCTTATTTCTTTAATAAGTTGTATCTTTGGATTGATATATATTAGGGCTTTTTATTTCTAGGCCCAAATGTTTACCCATCTTTACCTATAAACCCATTTACTATTTGATGTATCCATAAACCCAAATATCTTTGGGTATTTATCTTTAAGCCCAACTTACAAAATACAGTAAATGTAGACATATGTATTTATACAAAAACATAGTAAAATTCTCAAAATATCCTTTCAATCATTTATGACAAATTAATCCAAACACCTAGAATCATAAAAGTCCGCAAACCCTAAACAAATAGAGACCCCTTCATTTATTCATATCTCCTTAACAAATATCTAATTGCAGCAAGCCCCATGACAATTCCTATAGTTATTATTTTCTTTCTTTGCATAGAAGTCCTTTCATAACTTAATATTTATAACATAAGACTTATTACCAATAGGAACTTAGGGATGTTACAGAGCTATCCATAAAAATGCCATACAACATCAGATGAGGAAGAGAGATTTTACCGAACCGCTAATCAATATCGATGTCAGGGATGTGTCGGATGTTGGGCCAGTCAGCACCTTCATTCTCCCGGCATCGCTCCTTCAGCGTCTCGTTGCAGCCCCCGATCATCAGCGTTCGCAGAGAAAGAGGTAGTTGTGGCAGCGATTGGAGATCACAAGCTTCACCAAGTGTCAAGTACTCGAGGGAAGAGAGAGTTTGGAGGCTAGAAGGCAAGATCTTTGCTTTACGCCACAGATGGAGACTTCGCAGTGAAGTTGAATTCTGCAACAGCCATGGCTCCGCGAGAGCAGCCTCCAGATGACTACCATCTCCTATTTCTAGCCGCCTGACAGACGTGAGTTTTCTCAATGGCTCTACGTGGAGCAGGAACGGGTCATCGATTTCAAGTTCTTCAACAGTCGATGTGAACCCCTGCTCCTCTTCCCGCTTGATTATTGATGCTGGAGTTGCCGCTGCAGCTGCTTGCACAAGCTTGGGGCACTCCCTAATGGTTAGCTCTTTAAGGTGGGGAAGAGCCTTTAGACGCTCAATTGATGCCAGCTCACCACACCCTGCCAGGTGCAACTCCCTCAGCGAAGTAAACTCCCCTTCGGAGGGAAAGGCGGTTATGTGGTTAGCTCCTTCTAATCCAAGGAATGAAAGAGAAGCAAGGGAACTTTGCGTTAATAACGCAGGAGAGAGACCGTCCGATCCACCACAGTAACCAAGCCAAAGGGATTCGAGTGATGAGAGAGCGAAACAATCAACCGGGGTAACTGTGTTTGGAGACATCCTCAGCTCAGGGCAATCCTCAACCCACAACTCCCTGAGAGACGTGAGATGATGTCGGAACAAGCCAGTCACGGATGTCAGCTTCCCGCACCTTCTAATTCTCAATTCAGAGAGGGAGGGAGAGCACGCGGACGAAGAGCTACCACCGCGGTTGCTGCCCACCCAGAGCGTTGGGGAGTCAGACAACCCCACGCCTTCCAGCACCAATTTTTGGAGACCGAGGGGCAGAGGGGGCAGCGCCTTCAGTCTAGACAACCCCACGCCTTCCAGCACCAATTTTTGGAGACCGAGGGGCAGAGGGGGCAGCGCCTTCAGTCTGGGACAGTACTCGATGACAAGTTCCTTGAGCAGAGGACACCAGGGTGCCGCCTCTGCCTCTAATCCACACCACTCCTCCCATTGCTCACAGTGAGAGATATCTAAATACTTCAGTTGTTGAAAGCCACCTTCACAATTGATTTGCTGAAGAGCTGGCAGTCCCCACAATCTCAGATCCATGAGGTACGGGAGCTTCCCGAGAGAAGGAAGGTGCTTCCATGCCCTGCCACATTCAAGGCTCATGTACTCCAGATTTATTAATAGGTCCGGTTCCATCCAACATGGAGCCCTGGCGCCTTGGTATCCCTCGATTGTTAGTCCCCTGAGGCTATCAGGTGGCTGCAGGCGATCAAGCATCAGTTCATACTCATCCGACGCACCCCTATCATCAGACCAAACCAGCTCTAACTTGAGGAGGTTCCTTTTACGATGCAACTCGATCGTACCGACTTCCTCGTGATGTTTGTGATTCTCAAGGCCACGGATCTTCAGTTCCCGCAAATCTTCCATCTCCTTCAATTCGCTCAATTTATAAACTTCAGCAGTGAACGAAAAACGTTGAAGTGAAGTCAACGTCCCTAACCCCTCGATTTTTTCATAGTAAACTTCACATGGTATCAGGTGTCTCAAACTAATGAGATTATTCAAGCCAAGAACACTCACAGCTTCAAAAAATCTAAAGTCAAGGACCTGAAGGTGGTAAAGCCTACAGAACGAACTAGGTAATTGAAAAATAACATGACGAATCGACAAATATCTAATATGCCTCATGTTACCAATTGTATCTGGCAATACGTTCATGTCGTCAACATTTAGGCGCAGCACCCGAATGCTTTCCAGTGACTTAAACGCATCTGGCAATACGTTCATGTCGTCAACATTTAGGCGCAGCACCCGAATGCTTTCCAGTGACTTAAACGCTTCTTCAAAAGCCTTAGCATGCTCATTAACATATCCTCTGAAGGCTAACACAAGCGTGCGGAGATTCTTCCGTTTGCCCACATCTTTAAGAAGGTCAAGTTTGTTGGTTTCAAAATGCAGATGACGTACCGTATTCGGGATCTGGTCAATTGACATGTCTCCAACAAATCTAAAGCAATCACCATGAGACACTTTACGTGCCACTTCATGCAAAAGATCATGCATGTTGTAGGTTCCATCTGCGAAGTAACCTTGTTCGAGAAATGATAGTTTCACTAAATCATCAAAGTAGCCCCTTCCAGTGTCCTCCAGTGTCTCGTTTGGATATTGGGAAGATTTTTGAATGAGGCCAAGAGCCATCCACATGAAGACTAGATCATCTTTCTCGAACCTATAACCTTGAGGAAAGATGCTGCAATAAGAAAAACAGGGTCTTAAGTGCATTGGTAAATGGTGGTAGCTTAACATCAAAACTGCATTCACACCATCCCTCTGCTGTGCTTGATCGGATATATTGTCTGCTTGCAAAATTCTGTTCCAATGACTATCATCCAACTTAGAATTCAATAGCGCTCCAATCGTCTTTGCAGCCAATGGTAAGCCCCCAAGCCTTCTTGCTATTTTCTCGCCAATGGATTCCAACTTCCTATAATCACAAGAGTCTACACCAGCAAATGCATATTGGTTGAAAAGTGATAAGAAGTTGTCATCATCTAAAGGTTTCAATATCATTGGCTTATTTATTGATCCCCCCAAAGCCGAAGTAGCCATTTTTGCAACAGGCACACTTCTAGTAGTTAACAAGATTTTGCTTCCTTTTTGGCCACTCGTCAAAGGAGCAAACAATTTATCTCACTCAGAACGATTGTCATCATTCCATGCGTCATCCAAGACAAGGAGAAATTTTTTGGACGATACCAGTTTCTTAAGAGCTTCTTGCAGAGCGGCAAGCTCCTTGACTTTAGGTGTACTTTCTGAGGCGTATTCTATCATATCTGCCATGACCTTTTCGACAACAAAGGGAGTGGAGATACACACCCAGATTTTGCAATCGAAGGAATTAGTTAAGCTATCGTCATTATAGACGTGTTGTGTGAGGGTGGTCTTGCCCACTCCGCCATGGCCAATAATGGAGAAAAGAGATACACTTGTATTGCTGTCATCCTTTCTCAACCACTCTAACAGTTCCTCCCTCTCTTTATCTCGTCCACACAGTTTTCTCTCAGTTAGAGCTGGTCCAGTTTTACGAGTAGGAACCGGGCTCTGACTATGATGTTGTTGATGCAGTTGTAGCGTAGAGATGAAATTTCCCACGCCCGCTGCGACTTCATCTAGCCTTTTCACAGCCCCCCTCATTTTCTCAAGGATGGGATCAGATTTGAAGACTCTTTTACTAGCTTTTTTAACTTTCCGTTTAGAGCCGGAGAGAAAACCACGCATTTTACCCCAGCCTGCGTGCGAAATTGGTAGGGAAGTTAATTTTCTTTTATTGATTAAATTCAAAAAACAATCAATTATTTTTGAGCATCTGATTGCTAACCACTATGACCATGTTCTTTGCTGCCTGAGGCTTTCTCCTTAACTTGTTTCTGTAGCTTAAGGTAATCAAGCTCATCAAGTACGTTGTCAGCCTCGTAAACAGCATCTTTTAGTTGCCACAGCCATTTCTTGAGTGCTCCAGTAACTTCTTGCTGCCCGCTCTCAGCCTTCTCCACGACAGCTAGGATACGAGGAAGAGCATCATTGAGCCTTTCAAGCTCATCTTTCATCCGAGTATCCCGAGCAAAATACCGGTCTGCTGCATACTCGAACCCGATCTCCACCAACTTCTTGATGATCTTGCTCACAATCACGTCTCCGACCACCACCATGTTTTTATGAGTAGCGAGCTCTTCGCTTTTGCTTTATCGTAGTAGATGTAGACTTTAATTGCAGAGAGTTGCAGAGCAGAGAACTCCTTAGTTCTCCTACACTACTCAAGAAATGGGGAACTTATATCCACACTCCTAATCATTATGATAAGCCCCACTCCGCCCCCACATTAAGTTGCGGTTTGCAGGAGAAATTGAGATGAATATCAACTACTTGTGCAGTTCACCTCTATAAGTCATTAAGTCTACGGTGGTTGTTGGAAAAATTATTGATCTTTGCTTGGATTCCTTGCCTTCATAATTTTCAAACTTGATGGTAAGGATTCGTTACGAGCCATTTGATTGATGTTAACTTGACTGAGTCAATTATTGACCAAACCAATCAAGAAATGTTCCTTAGATATTATTGGGTTGTTAGCATAACTTTGTTAATTTCTATAGAAGAGGGATTCATGGTTGAGTAGAGTAAATCATGGAGGCCGATACGATTTAGGGTGAATGTGGATACTGATAAGCCTCTATAAAATGAAAGGTTATCTCATTGTTAAGACGTACACAGAAAAACTAAAAGTTTCTATTCGAAATCCCAAATCAAAACCACCCTATTTTATTTTTATACTAGTATCAAACCAGATTAAAGATCTGTTCCCTTGTTTCCAACAAACTATTGCTTATTTTATTTTATACCAGATTAAAGGTTGAGGTTGAGGTTTATCTTTTATTTTATTTTTATACTAGTATCAACCCAGATTATTAGTTAGATTGCACGTGCAATACACGTGGTTGAATATCATGGTTATTTAAATTGATAAAAATAGATTAAAATAAAATAGAAAATAAAGTTTTTTGCAAGATTGATTATCAACACAATAATCTCTCTTTCAAATAAAATATTGTCATTGTTTCCTTCAACCCAGACTGTCGCTGCGTGATCTACTATTTGTGAGTTATAAACACATTGATCTAGTACAATATCTTTGTTTATTAGTATCTTGAAGTCTTTAAAAGATGGGTGATCATTCAATTCGTAAAAGAATTTTGCATATGAATTTACTTGCAATATGTTCATTAAACTTTTAGTTGTGGTTTGACTCATATTCACATTAACTTTTAGTTGTGATTTTACTCGATTTTACTCATATTTATATAGTCAATCGATTAAACATATTAAAATTATAATGACACAGTTAAAATTATATATTGTGTTCACATTAAATATAATTTATAAAAAATAGTACATTAAAGTCAAAAACCTTTTAACCACTATATAGATTATTTGCAAATTTTTACATGTATAAACTATACTACTTAGGAATAGTGATTTGCACACTTAACTATAGCCTAATACATCTTAAGAATGACTTACTCTTTAATATTATCATTAATTAATGTATCTATGCATTACAGTAAAACACAATGAAAATTTAGAAAACTACAAAAGAAATATCCTCAAAAGTTTTTAAAATTGTAAAAACAAACACCCTAAACTTTTATAATTAACAAATACAAAAAACTATAAAAAATTACATTAAAATCAAGGAACTATAAAAAATCATTGAAAAATTTCAAACTTTGGAGGGGTAATTTGCAATGTACTAAACTTTAAGTTTATTTTTTTTGTAAATTTTAAATCAAATAGATTTTTAATTAGTTATGTTCTTTTTAAAAAAGTTATGGGTAATATTGACCATGAAAAGTTTTTCCTAAATCAATACTTTTAAAGGGAGTATGATATCTTTTTGTAAATTTTTTATTCTCCAGGGGTTGCTAGTAATTTGTATATTCATTTTAGTGTCTATAGGTTAGAAATTCTCATAATTTTTTTTTGTAAATTATGAATATTAGAGGTTTTTTGTAAATTATGAATATTTGTTTGATTGTGTAATATTTTCTTCTAATTGAGGTTTTTCATAGTTGGATGTGCCTTATGTTGAGCATTTTGAATTATGGAGCTATAGTTGTATGACCTAGGCCTTATCTGTGCTTCTACTTTGAAATTTGAAATAGTGGGCTGTCAGGATTTTGATAGGTAGATTGGATGAATGGATTGGATTCACAAATTCACGCCAGTTATGGGGATGCATTAACTTGCTTCTGGACCACTCTGTAGCACAAAATTTTGCAAGTTGATGTCATTTATGTGAAAGTGCTACCCTTTTGCTAGTTGCTGCTGATAGTTGCAGTGAAACAAATGGCTGTCATTGAACTTATATTTACTTTGCGAGTGTTTATGATTCAACTGAAGATAATTTGTAATTTAAACTAAATAATCCAAAGCACCACACGGTTAAAACCCCAAAACACCCCTCTCTCTTTCTCCCCAGTGTACAGCTACTTTGCCAATGGCCTCTACAAGTTCTTTGCTAGATTCTACCAGAGGCTGCAGTTTTGATGTTAAGAAATTTAAGTAAATTTCAGACTCATGTAAAAAATAAAAGAAAAACGAAAGAAGAATAAACCTTAGAGCTTGCTTCAGTCACAGTATACCCATCATAAGGACAGGCAGTAGTAGTGGCTACAAGATAAGCTAGGCACCGTTTACAGTATAAATGTGCACATTGTGCTTGTAAAGCCTCGTTTGGTATAATGAGCATACGGCATACAACACAGAAATATTCACCGGGGATAGAATGGATATTCACTATGCATCCATTTTCAAAAAAGTATAATATTGATATGATACTAACGTTGGCTTAAATTTTTTTTGGTTGCAGAAAAGCACACCATGGATGTGGTTAGAATTCCATCAAATATTAGCTACTTCCGGGACCTCCTCCAAAATCATATTTCTTCTACATCATTGGAGGATCATCGGACAGCCCTTCGAGATACACCTTTCGTTGGGTATTTGGATGTTGCTAATGTTCCAATTCACCCTGTTCTAGTGGATTGCTTGCCGGAAGTCTTTGATGCTGAAAAAAATAGCTTCAAGATTGGAGGAAAATGGACCTCTTTTAGTGTTCAAGATGTTGCAAGAATTACGGGTCTTCCGATGGGAGGATCTATTGTAGACACGGGGTTCCATAGAAGCGATCGCTAGACAATCTACAAGCTCGTGCTATCGTTTAGGTCGAAGACAGAAATCGTGGAGGATAGCAAGTGTAGGACTAGGAGAGGAAAGAAGAAAAATAACGAGGAAAAGAAGAAGATTGTTTGTGCTAGAAGGGGTAGGATGGGTGAATTTATTCAGGAGATGACTGAGCGTAGAGATCCTCTTGTGCCACAGATGCTCGTGGCTTTCATCATAGGCTTTATATTATGCCCTCAAGCTAATATGGGTTGCCCTTTATTTGCATTTAGATATGCGGAGAAATTGGACACTCTTAATGAGTACAATTGGGCTGAAGCAGTGTTCAGTGTGTTAAGGACTGAGATGGTTAAGGCTAAAAAGACCATCACCAAGAGGTCGGAGGGAAATCGAAGTAGAAGTGGTTATATGTGGGGCTTTGCATCGATTTTGGTGGTAAGTTAACATTTTCTATATTTATGTCATTTTTCATTTTATATATTTAGTTCATTTAGTCATATTTACTGTTGTACTAAAATTATCAACTATTCACAGATATGGTTTTATGAGCTTGTCGGAAAGCTAAACCTTCACGTAGGAGCTGAATCCCTACCACCCATCCTAAGCTTCTACAAGTGTCCAAAACCTTTACGGAGGAATGCATTGCAGAATTTAATTAGAGGCCCGGATAATTTTAGCCAATATCATAAGGGCTCGAGGTCTCTACAATTTCAAAAGAGGATTGCTGAAGCCGCCACTTCCACTAAAGAAGCTACTTCTTCAAAATTCAAGGGAAAGGTATAATGGTTTATTTGTATGTAATGTTACTTTTCCAATTATTATGTGGGTTCAAATAGTAATTTAATGTGCTTTTTGCTAAAATAGAACTTATTATTTGATGTTGGTGAATTATCTATGCTTTCATTGGTTTTATTCATGAATGTAACTGTGCTTGGGTTGTTTACATGTAGATAATCACTGAAGCTGATTTGGATCGGCTCATCCATGAAAAGAAAGTTGAATTAAACCTTCTCTTGAAGATGAAGAGGGAAATATTCGGTGGAAGGCAAGAGGATGTCGATAGTGATATCGGAGATGAGGATGACGGGGATGATGAAGATGATAGTGATGGCGGCGATGAGGATGGAAGGAATGAGGAGGATGATAGAGATGAAGGCGAAGGTGAAGGTGAAGGTGATGGTGGAGTAGGAGATGAGGGGGATGGTGGTGATGTGGATGAGGATGAAGGAGATGTAGATAGAATGAATGTAGATAAAGATGATGGTGAAGATGATGATGGTGGAGATGGTGCTAATGACGATGTTGTCGGCGAGTCAATTGAACTGGATGATGACGCCTTTCTGCTTAGCCCGCGCGATATTGCGATGATTGAAGGCAAGCGTAAAACCCCTTCCATCAAACGAACGGTTCTATCAAGATCGCGGCTCGCCGGACCATCTACACGTGATCCCTTTGTCCCGCTTTGTAATCCTAAAGGTGTACCAAAATATCCGGGAAGGAAGGAAGTATGGGATGATGAACGAGAAGTACTCGATAACTTTTGGAGGGACAAAAAGATGACAATGTAAGGAATATCGAAAGACCTATTTTTATGACTTTTATTGTGTTTTCATCGACATATTTAGTAAGTTTTTTCATATGTAGGGAGACATTAGTGTGGTCATCAAGTGATGCTTTGGTAACTCGTAAGGATGCATTGGAATTACTTAAAGGCGAAGCAATTGGTTGCGACGTAAGTTCCCTTTTTTGTACTTGCGTTTCACACAATGCACGTGTAGTAGCACATAACCTTCAATTTTTTATTATGTGCATTTTTAGGTTATAGCCTCTTATGTTGTGCTTCTAAATATGTTGATGGAGATGCGTCCAAATTATGCGAAGAACATACACATCTGCAGTCCATGGGTTACTGTAAGTGGATTCTCGATTGGAGATTATAAGTATTATTCATGTATTATCTTCGATACTAAAA